TAAGGGGGTCTGAATACTTTCCGTACCCACTGTATATATAGTTTTTTTGTTTGAATAACAGAGATGGTTATATACCACATACTTCCCGGATTATTCTGATCACCTTGTCTCACTGTGGGATCAACTTCAATGTATGTTATTTGTACAATAGAAGTCAGTGTTCTAAAAAAATAAAAATAAAATAAAAAGTTTGAAGAAAAACGTTTTGACTCACAGATAGGCCGGGCTCTCCCTTCTCTCCTGGTTTTTCCTATAATTTAAGTTGAATTTTATTATTAACAGAGGCAATTTTCAAGGTATAATCTACATTATCCTGAAATCTCAGGATTAGGTAAATACTGAATTAAAGGTGTCCTACAATCTGTTGTGGTTCCATTAGTGGAATGGTGTGGTCATGTTTATTGTTGTTCGCCACTATTGTTGTGGACTTGGAGTCTACCCTATTCTGGTCATAGCCTTGACTTGGACTCAACCTACACAGGTCTCAGCCTACACTCAGACTCAAATGAGCCGTCTCGACTAAAACACTGTCCGGTAAACCATGCATACTTCGACTGGAACTGAATGGGAACCTTGGCTAACTGATAATTGGATATTACATTGACTCCTGTTTGTCCAGGCATTCCATGTTCTCCTCTCTCTCCTTTTCTCCCACGTTCCCCTACTAGGCCCCTGTCACCCTGAAACCATCAGACTTTATTAATTCCTCATTGCATTTGAAAAGTAACATGGTATTAACTGTACTGACATGTAATACAATTGGTCAGTGTTTGCCAATCTAGTACCTTCTCTCCTGACAGTCCATCACCTGGAGGCCCTCTAGGGCCAGGGGGCCCTTGAAACCCAGGATCTCCCTGTGATGACAAAATGTTTAGTTAGAGGTCTAAAATTCTGTATGGTAAAGTGTTTTGCTTGTTGTCCAAGCTGATAGAGCTATAGTAAGGCCTTCAGGCCTTGGGTCCTTACCTTGGGACCCTGAATTCCCTCTCCTGAAGGTCCTGGAAGAACAGGAGCACCAGGCTGGCCAACTGCACCCTATAAAAAATGCATTAATCAATGTTGAGTATTTTCTGAGCCAATGCACATTTTATTTTTAGAAGTGTTATTGAACCTTTGGTCCCGTCAGTCCAATTCCTGGCGGCCCTGAAGGGCCAGTCGCTCCAGGTGAGCCCCGGTCTCCCTGAAAACAACAACAACACCACTTTAGCCGAAATTCTAGACTAGACTTCACTGACTTTCTGAAAGACAGAGTCATAATTTATTGTGAACTGCATACTGACAAATACCTTTGGTCCAGGAATTCCTTGTCCTTCAGGTCCAGCTTCACCTGGTGGCCCAGGCAACCCTGGAAGCCCCTGAGAATATATCGTATGTATAGATATGGCTTGTTTTGTTTTCAGGGGTTTTAATCAAAGTCTTTGTCTCCTTTACACACCTGTGGTCTGGGGTAACCCTCCCCCTTCATTCATTGTGGCCCCACTGGTCCTGGATTTCCTCTGTTACCCTGAAATATGCCAACATAGATTTTATGCATAGATTTTTTCTCCCATTAAACCATATACTAATATGTCTTTGATGCTATAACCTTAGGGCCTGTAGTCCCGACACCTGGCTCTCCAACAGGACGCGGGGGGCCTGCAGGTCCTGGATCACCCTAACAAAAAACATGCACCCAACCCAATGATATATACATATTTACAATACAGTAATGTATAACATTAGGTTAGAATGCAAATAGCCAGCCATTTTGGCAAAG